CAATACCGTTTCAACCAGGCGATCACTGCTGATTGACGAGCTAAAGCCGTGACGGCGGCACAGGCGGACAAGTCTGTTGACGTGAGACTGGATCCACTCGCGGACATCCAGCACACTGTCCTGTCTGGCTCCTTTGATGACCAGTTCCTCCAACCGTTTGACGTAATGCTGTGTTGGAAACATGTCGATCGCAACATAGTCGACAAATTCTTCATGGGTGGCAGTGATGGGAACTGAGCTGATGATTGCTACGATGTTGTCTGATGAGACTGCTTCCCATGCTTCAGCGAGAAAAGGGGAATGCAGACGCGGTGACGTGTGACTTGGCGGGATGCTTTATCTAACCAATCCTCGAAGTCCTTCTCAGTTGGCGGTCGAAGGGCTCAAGGTGCATGCGCTCGAGAATTCTGTCTCTTTTCTCGAGTTGGTGAAGAACTTCATCGCCTGTCAGGTGGGAACCGCTGACGACGGATGCTGATGTGGTGCAGAAGGCTGAGGCTGCTTCCCGGAGCAGCCCCCATTTGGGCCGTGAAGTGCAGCTCAGCCTCTCTTGATGTCATTCTCACTGCGAAAGACGTTAAAAGGTTGTGTTTGTTCGTGGTGGTGTATGAGGAAAACGAGAGAACAGAAAAGGCAAGCTAGTTTGGGTCGGTCGACTATGGGGGGATGCGTTGTGCAGTGCACCGGGGCTTCAAGCTAGCTGTTATGCCGGATCTCGTCTCGAGATCCGCCTCCAACCTGCATGTCACTGATCAGGACCAGCTGCTGTTTTTACTCTGTGGTATCATGTATAAGGTTCACTACGACCACATTGCAATTTCACAATGAAAAAAATCATTTTAATATTTCGGTTCGCCTTCTACGATCCAAAAGCCATAAGCCCAAAGAGCGGCGAATATTAATGATCCTCCGATCTGATGTGGAATCATAAACGCTCATTCAAACAATGCACCTTACAGAAAGGCAGTAGTTGATCATGAACCAAGCCTCAGGACCGTTTTGTCGCACATGCCGCGTCACCAAAGATCCCAGGCCCAAGTTGAGCTATAAGAAAAACACTAAGAATTACAAATTTCTGAAAACATACCATTCCGCCAATCGCCATGGAAGCCCCAGTCAATGTTACAAAATATGCGATACCAAGAGCCTCTGAAAAAGGCGCTGATTGATGTTGTGGTTGAGCACCTACCAACTGTGTATGAAAATAGGATCCCATAGGTGGATGCCCTTGAGAAGACGAACAGGACAAAGGTGATATTCTGGAGAGGGAGGTTCTGAAGTGTTGATAATAGATTGACGCATATGGCAGCGAGATTGAGCAAACACGTCATTGGAATGATTCCGATAAACTCCATAGAGATTCCATTGAGCAGTCCCGCCACAATGCTGAATAGCATCACATAAGCTAAAAAAAATAAATTAAATCAATTTAAATGAATGACTCACAGAAGCGATCGATGTATTCATTCTTCGTGTCTCCCATATGATGCAAGATTTCTTCATTCCCATCAAAATAGAGATTCGCCTGCAGAAGAAGAATAAAAAATAAGGGAATGCATCTATCACAAAGTTGACTGACCCGTAAGACGAAAAATGTAAAGACAAAAGTGATCAGGATCCATTCCAGTGAAAAAAATTGCTTCGTCCGAGATTCTCTGGGTCGAGCTGCAGAAGGCTCAGCCAACGCTATCATTGATACGGAGAGTTTGGATAAGCGGTGAACTGGATCGACTGGAAACAAGTAGGAGCTCTCGTCGAGATGGACCAGACCCCCAACGATCGCGCTGGTCGGGTTGAAGAAGAGAGGTCACATCGAGAGAACCCTCATGAGATTCAGTTTCTGAAACAAGGGCTTCCTTTGACTTCTCGCTTCTAGGAAAATATGGCTCATCAGGAAACAAGAATAGCGTCGCGATCATTCCAATAAATGGAACAACTGCCAAGCATCCGAGTAGCACAGTTGGAGAGAGTCCCCACTGCACTCCCAAACGAAGAACCTGGGAAGACAAAAAGAGCGACCTCTACAACGGACGACAATCCAGTCAGGACGAATCTGCTTCCATGCTCGAATAGATTGGATACATGCAAGACAGAGTTGAGCAAAAAGACCGACGCAGCCCCTTGCAAGAACATTCCTAACCACAGCGACTTCCAGCTGTACATGAGAAGAACTCCAACCGCGAAGAAGAGATGTCCCATCGTGTGTGTGACTCTTGGTCCCGCTATTTCATAGACTGCACCAACGACACCACCAAACATGACATCAATTGTTTGAAAGACTATCCCCGCATCTGTTAGAAGATTTTCGGGATTTTCAGCGCCTTTCAAAAATCCCCCTTCTCGTAAAAATCCTCTAAAAGCATTAACATTATAGGCAGGCCCCGAGCAAACCGCTATGAGGCCTCCAAAGATGACGAGCATCCCAATGGGATGGATTTTTGGCTCTGGGCCCATTTTTTTAGAACTTGTACCTGATTCTGTGGACCTGGGCCCGGCAACCGAACCGAAAACCCCTCCAAGTGGTTAAGCAATACTTTACCCGGGAGGTGAGAGTGAATGTCGTCGTTTGGAGACACACCCACTCATCCCCTCATTTCAAGAGGTTTTGGTGGAGTTGTTTTTCGGTTGAGTTTTTGTTGAGTTTTTTTTTTCGGTCTCTTTTTGTATTGTGTCGCTTTTGATGTGAACTTCTCTGGATTTGTAAAATTGATTGATTATTTGCGCCACGTTTGGACCACCAGTTGCATCAGAGAACAATAGAGATCTCAAATGGCGAACGATCTGCACGTCATCCATATGGAATGACAAAGCTTAGAGAACACACACATGAACCCTCAGAATATGATGAGGAAGATGAGCAAGTGGTCATCGCGCTCCAAGATAGGAAAGACAGCGCAGATGAAGAAAAAACTGAAGAAAACAATGACGAGGATGCAGAAACCTCGATAAAAAACAATGAAGATAACTCGATAAAAAACAACGAAGGAGATCCAGAAACCCCGAGAAAAAACAATGAGGAATCGAGGGAGGTTGAAGATGATGAAGATGAAGATAAATCGATAAAGACGAATGAAGAAGATACAGCAAAATCGATGGAAGTTGAAGATGATGAAGATAAAGATAAATCGATGAAAAACAACGAAGAAGATCCAGAAACCCCGAGAAAAAACAATGAGGAATCGAGGGAGGTTGAAGATGATGAAGATGAAGATAAATCGATAAAGACGAATGAAGAAGATACAGCAAAATCGATGGAAGTTGAAGATGAAGATGATGAAGATAAAGATAAAGATAAATCGATAAAAAACAACGAAGAAGATCCAGAAACCCCGAGAAAAAACAATGAGGAATCGAGGGAGGTTGAAGATGATGAAGATGAAGATAAATCGATAAAGACGAATGAAGAAGATACAGCAAAATCGATGGAAGTTGAAGATGAAGATGATGAAGATAAAGATAAATCGATAAAAAACAACGGAGAAGATCCAGAAACCCCGAGAAGAAACAATGAGGAATCGGGGGAGGTTGAAGATGATGAAGACGAAGATAAATCGATAAAGACGAATGAAGAAGATACAGCAAAATCGATGGAAGAAGATGATGAAGATTTAGATAAATCGATGAAAAACAACGAAGAAGATCCAGAAACCCCGAGAAGAAACAATGAGGAATCGGGGGAGGTTGAAGATGATGAAGATGAAGATAAATCGATAAAGACGAATGAAGAAGATACAGCAAAATCGATGGAAGTTGAAGATGAAGATGATGAAGACGAAGATAAATCGATAAAGACGAATGAAGAAGATACAGCAAAATCGATGGAAGTTGAAGATGATGAAGATTTAGATAAATCGATGAAAAACAACGAAGAAGATCCAGAAACCCCGAGAAGAAACAATGAGGAATCGGGGGAGGTTGAAGATGATGAAGATGAAGATAAATCGATAAAGACGAATGAAGAAGATACAGCAAAATCGATGGAAGTTGAAGATGAAGATGATGAAGATAAATCGATAAAAAACAACGAAGAAGATCCAGAAACCCCGAGAAAAAATAATGAGGAATCGAGGGAAGTTGAAGATGATGAAGACGAAGATAAATCGATAAAAAACAACGAAGAAGACACCGCAAAATCGATGGAAGTTAAAGATGATGAAGATAAAGATAAACTGATAAAAAGGAATGAAGAAGATCCAGAAGCCTCGATAAAAACCAATAAAGACTCGATGGAAGTTGAAGATGAAGAAAAACCGGTTCTTGAGGTTCATGGATACTTGGAAGTCCTCTCTATTCGCGGAAAATCGGAAGAATGGCTTTATGAGACTGGATTGGCGGATCGGAAACCGATAACTGGTCCGAAACAAATGCGAAATGTTCCGAAACAACAGCCGAAATTTATGAAAGCAAAAAGCAAAGCACCTCCCAAGACGAAGATTGTTGAGAAACGACCAATGAAAAAGGTAATCGAGTCTTCCACGTGCGGAATACGTTTATTGTCTTAGGGAGTGATGAAGGAGGGGAAAGTCGAACAAATAATAGCAAAGGGTCGCCCTATGCGCAACCTCGAACCTGCAATAGTGAGAGGAAGCAGTCCGCCGCAAGGACGTGGAACACAACCACCAACAGAGAACACGAAGGTCACAGGTGAGAAGGAAATCGTCGTTGATCCGGGTGTTGAAGACGCCAGCCCTGAAAGCGTACAGAGAAAAGGCAGCATGGTGTCAATGCCTGAAAAACCCGCTCCGAAAGGAAAACAGCAGCGCGATTCGGAAAATCAATCTAGTGGAAAGCCTGTGGGGGGGAAAACGCCAACGTTCGATGCACGACTTAAAACGCCTGTGGCAAAAATGCAGCCCGGAAAACCACCAGGGAAGAAATCAGAAAAAGCACCCTCGTTGCCGACAGGTCCCAGCTCAACGAAAAAAATCTGAATCTACAATGGTTGTTAAAAACAAAGCGAAAAATCCGCCACAGAAGCGAAACCCTGAAGGCAGTGCTAAAGAATCTGGACAAACTTCGCTTCCACCGAAAGATGAAACAGTTCTTGACTTAGAAGTGTCACTCCCACCACCAGACGGAATGAAGCCGTCAAACATTGACTCAGAGGTGTCATGTCCGCCAACAGATGGAACAAAGGTATCTACCCTTCAATCAAAAGTGTCACGTCCGCCAACAGATGGAACAAAGGTATCTACCCTTCAATCAAAAGTGTCACGTCCGCCAACAGATGGAACAAAGGTATCTACCCTTCAATCAAAAGTGTCACGTCCGCCAACAGATGGAACAAAGGTATCAACCCTTCAATCAAAAGTGTCACGTCCGCCAACAGATGGAACAAAGGTATCTACCCTTCAATCAAAAGTGTCACGTCCGCCAACAGATGGAACAAAGGTATCTACCCTTCAATCAAAAGTGTCACGTCCGCCAACAGATGGCCTTCAATCAAAAGTGTCACGTCCGGCACCAGATGAAATGAAGACCTCTACCATTGACTCAACTCCAGCTGGAACACACTCATTTGACTCAGAAGTGTCACTCCCGCCGCCAGAAGGAGTGAAGCCCTCTACCATTGACTCAGAGCCAGCTGGAATACACTCATTTGACTCGGAAGTGTCACTTCCACCACCTGATGGACAGTTATCTACTCTTCAATCCGAGTCTGCCGTTGCCTCAGTAGCTGTGTCACGTTCACCAACAGATCAACTGAACGAAACTCCACCACAGTTTCTGCTTCCGTTTCCTGTAAACGAAATGGGATTATCGGGAACGGACGGTCTTCTACAGTCGCTTTTAGCTGAACTGAATTTAAAAGAGGCACTGACGCGAGAATCATCAGCACACTCCCTCTTAACGCCCCAACAGAAGAGTTCAACTTTGGAGAAGTTGTCGTCTGGGTTCCCCTCCGTCTCCTCGGGTTCAGGGTTGACAATGCTTGTTTCAAATGACGAAGGCGTCGTCACTCCTTCATCCTACACTGAAATTGAAAGCATCCCTCCACCGGAGAAGAACCGCGATTCAACTCCTGGCGACATTCACGACGTGCTCAGACGGGCCAGACGAAGACTGACAATAGCCAAACCAGTGGCAAGACATCCACTCTATATAAGAACGGAAACAGCTCGACTTCTCAGAAGGGTCTCAAATAATTTTTCCAGCTCGTCTTTGGCCACGCGCAGGCCTGTTGCACCGCCAGTTGCCTCGAAGTCGTCTGAACGACGACCACCTGTGAGGAGCATTGGATCCCTGCCATCAATAACAAAGCAAAGATCTTCGGCGTCGAGAACCAGTGTTACTCGTCCAATAGCATCAAGAATAGGATCACGTGCATCAACAGTTGGTCCTTTGAAGCGGAAAACCCCTGCTCCAGCAGTCCCAAAAGCAGCTCAAGTCGAAGCACCAAATTCCGAAGAACCCAAGAAGAGGCCAATCGTAAAAAAGGTGACTCTAAAGAAGAAACCAGTAGAACCAGAAAAGGCTGAGCCGAAGTCGGTCCCTGAATTAAGACCGAAAAAAGTCCAACACCGAGTCCAGATTGAAGAAAAAACAGAAGAAAAACAATATTTAAAAGAGAAAATTGGAAGTGTGAAAAAAGAATTTGTGAAGAAGGCAACCCTAAAAGAAGACGACACAAAGGAGGAAGCGAACAAAAAGGAAATTGTGAAGAAGGCCACCCTAAAAGAAGGAAAAACGAGTGAAGACGACACAAAGGAGGAAACGAACAAAATGGAAATTGTGAAGAAGGCCACCCTAAAAGAAGGAAAAACGAGTGAAGACGACACTAAGGAGGAAGCGAACAAAAAGGAAATTGTAAAGGCCACCCTAAAAGAAGGAAAAACGAGTGAAGACGACACAAAGGAGGAAACGAACAAAATGGAAATTGTGAAGAAGGCCACCCTAAAAGAAGGAAAAACGAGTGAAGACGACACAAAGGAGGAAACGAACAAAAAGGAAATTGTGAAGAAGGCCACCCTAAAAGAAGGAAAAACGAGTGAAGACGACACAAAGGAGGAAACGAACAAAAAGGAAATTGTGAAGCAGGCCACCCTAAAAGAAGGAAAAACGAGTGAAGACGACACAAAGGAGGAAACGAACAAAAAGGAAATTGTGAAGAAGGCCACCCTAAAAGAAGGAAAAACGAGTGAAGACGACACAAGGGAGGAAACGAACAAAAAGGAAATTGTGAAGAAGGCCACCCTAAAAGAAGGAAAAACGAGTGAAGACGACACAAGGGAGGAAACGAATAAAAAGGAAATTGTGAAGAAGGCCACCCTAAAAGAAGGAAAAACGAGTGAAGACGACACAAAGGAGGAAACGAACAAAAAGGAAATTGCGAAGAAGGCCACCCTAAAAGAAGGAAAAACGAGTGAAGACGACACAAAGGAGGAAACGAACAAAAAGGAAATTATGAAAAAGGAAAGTGTAAAGAAAGGTGCAAAGAGGGAAAGTATGAAAATGGGAGGACTGGAGAAAGACACTCCGAAAAGGGAGGGTATAAAGCGAAAAACGTTGACAAAGAAAACAAACTCTGACACTTCAGACAAAGATGTGGAGGAATCTGGAATTGATGTGAAGGAATCCACAGGGGGTGAAGCAAGTGACAGCCTTAAGAAGTTAACCTCGAGAAAAGGGAAAGATATTCTCAAAGATCTCATGAAGAAGAAAGAGATGAAGAAAGTTCCAGATGACGCTGCGAAGAAGATGAGGAGGAAATCTTTACAAAAACCTGCGGCGAAATCGATAGCAAGTATGAAATCTGTCAAACCGGGAGATTCGAAGAGTGAGAAGCCATTCGCAAAACCAGTTCCCAGTAAACCTCCAGTAAAAAGGCGAGCGACTCTCGGTGGAGTACGAGATCTTGCACCCAGAGACCAATCTATGTCTGTACCGCGCAAATCCACGATATCTCTTCCAAAGATCCGGCGATTGGAAGCAAGAAGTAGGCAACCTCGATCTTCAATGACCATGTATTCTCTCTTAGAAGAGTCGAAGTCAAAGAGTATGCCGACTGCAAGAGAGGGAGGAATTGCAGCAGTAAGAGAGCGTCTGTCTGGCATTCGAGGCAGACTTGATCAACCATCTGACGTCACAAGAGAAACCAGTGGCGAGCGGGTCTCCCAAGAGACAGTAAGTTGCAGACGAGTTGATGATGGGGATCCATTCTTTCCTCAGATTGGATCGAGGTTGTCATTGCCAGCGGCACGTAGCAGCCTGAAGCCACTAGGAGTGTCAAGACGAAAGTCAAGCGCATCTGTCTCTTTCTCGGAAAGCCCTTATCCTGCGGAGGCTCCCTCCCGTAGGGGATCCACTCGAATGAGAAGGCTGAACACACTGAAGAGACCAGGAAGAGTAAGTTGGGAACCAATGAATGGAATCTCAATCCAAAATTCCATTATTTTTTTCAGGGTACGGGATTGCACCCTAAACGGCACGGATGGGATCCGATGGACTTGGTCGTAGCACGATCGCAAGAGAAGGAAGCCGAACCAGAATACAAATTGATGGATTGGAAAGAGAGTCAAGATGGTCGTAAAGGGAGTCGAGAATCAAAACCACAACGGCTGCAATCTTTGGACGATGTTCTCCCACTCCAGGATCCTGCCATAGAACTCCACACGACGAGGTCGAATGAGACTGTTGGGCCTGTTTATTTCCAACGAAGGCTCTCTGGCCTCTCCAGAGCGGAGGAAATCAAAGCAAAGGATGCCAGAGTGGAGGACACAAGAGCAGAGGACACAAGAGCAGAGGACACAAGAGCAGAGGACACAAGAGCAAAGGACACCAGAGCAAAGGACACCAGAGCAGAAGACCCAAGAGCAAATGAGATAAGAACGGAAGTCATTGAAATTCCTACCTCGCCTGCGAAGAGGGATAATGTGATTCCTTTCACATTGATAGAGGGTCACACCCAAGTCTACGACCGCCCTCATACCTTCCACGTCGGAACTGTCGGTGGAAGACAACACAATCAGAAACAGGTCTGGGCCCCTCTGAAGCTTCCAAAAGAAAAACATCTTCATGAGAAACAACCATTGTTCCCTCGATGGCTCTTTTGCGGTGTGGAGAGGCTTTGTCCTTCTCCTTGCTCTGGATCTGGTGAATTTACCGACAGATCAACCTTTCGCGCGATCAGTGAACGTGGATCTGAGATCCATTATGTCACGAAGGGTCCCATTGTGGTGTCAGCTCATGAACCGCTCCCTGTCAGACCATCCAATAACGATATTGCTATGGCGACGTATTTACAGCAAATGCCGAAACTATCGATACGCAGTGATTGGTTTAACGACAGACGGAGACGGGCGGCTGAGAAAGCTGTCGCAATAGGAGAGTCCCAACGAAAGAGCGTATGGTTCCACGCGCCAGTTGCGACGTCTGCCGGAAAGAACCGGCGTGTTTAGCAGAAAATGCGGTTCATCGCGAGTATGTGGAGATTCATGTATAGTAGCATTTATTAAAAATATTTTGAAAATATAAAGTACTGTTTGATCATTTTTGGCTCGAT